GGAAAAGACAGATATGTGTGAGGATTTTGTTCCCCAATCCAAAATCACAATCTCTTTATTTCCCTATGTAGCCTCAAAAGGTCAGTACCATCTTATGGTAGCAACTGAAATATTATGAAATTTCATCACTTTGTGATTAAACTGCAAGGAGAAAAAATTTCAATTAAGAAACATATTATCTTTTGCTTGTGCTTGGGTCAATATGCAAAAATACTCCCTGTACCCACACTACAGAAGACTCAGTAGCAAACTAGGCTGGGAAATACAATACAGAAGACTGGCAGCCAGCAATGCTATCCCTCACTTATTAACACTCCTTTGAGAACGTAAAGCACTGCATAAATGCTAATTATTTTCAGACACACACGCGCCAACTGAAGTAATCAGTCTAATGAGGCACATTCATCCAACACTGTGCTGCTTTCCACCAGAAAGATCTTCTGTCACAAAATGAAGCCAGTCTTTGGTTGGCACCTGCGTCTGGTTGAAACTGGTGCACCATATTGCGAGTGGGCACTGTGCCACCTTACCAGATGGACAAGACTGCAAGCTTGCCAAGGAAACAGAGAATTCACCACTTCCTTTTTTTTTTTTTAAAGCTGGAAAAAACATAGTGCTTCTATACTTACATAAAAAGGTGGTCATTTGGCTCCCACTTAGGCGTACATTCAGTTTGAAAGTTGGGAGGGGTTAATGAAATACCTGTACAGACCATTAAGAGGGTTTCTGCATTCAGACTGCTGGATTTAAATAATTAAATACTCCAATATCAATGTTCCTGAGCAATTCTGCACAAAGCACTCCATAGTATGGAATTGCTTTTAAACTTATGAGCAGCACACTGTGATAATACACCCTTACTTCTGCCTTCCTAAATGCTGATGCTACTCCTGAGACACCTTCTTTTGCAATGCTCTAAATCCACAAGCTAACAAGAACAAATCCCTCAGAAGTTCAGGACAGGAAGAGAAGTACTATATGCTTAGTGTACCATGCTTACTTTGAAGTCAAACTAACAGCAGCAAAACAAAATAAACACATAATAATTAACAGTTCTAACATTTGGCATGCAGCATTTCCTCCCTCAAAGCCAGTCCACTCTGGCACCCCATTACGACCAATGGGCCAACTGCACAACTCAGGGCTTGGGCACGTTTGGAGGGGTTTAAGAAATCACCACCCTCAGGTGAAATGCCATATGCAGCACTGTGCAAACACCTACTCCTTTGAGAGACAAAGCAAAAGAAGTTACATTGAACTCCTGCAGAAAAGTGTTTTTTTTTTTTTTTCTGCAACAGACTACAGATATTCATATGCTGCACTGATATGTCTTGCCTGCAGGACATCTTTCAACTGAACTCCCACAAATATTTATCCGACCAAGCTCTAAGATCTCCCTGCTTCTGCATTGCTAAGCAGGGCAGGAAGAGTTAGCTATTCTTAAAGATGACATAAAAACCAAGCTAGAAACTACTTAAACCTACGATCTCCTTATGGATCTCCAACTCTCTGAATACACATACCGTGGCAATTTGATTCAGCATTTAAATTCATATTAAAACTACAACAGTAAATGCCATCCCGAAACTTTTTCAAACACCTTAAATTCACATATATAGGTTACCATAGAGAAATAACCTAAACATTGTGCTGGCAGAGCAAAATTTAGCATTTGCAATTCTACAAATGATGCTTCTCCTCTGCCCATTAAAATAATAAAAGGGATCAGATTTTCCACATACAATCCTTCCACCCAATGTGGAATGATGAAGAGCAGGGCACATAACTGAAAACCAAGATCAACATATTTAACTAATATAAATACCCCTTAACTAATTGCAAAATAGCTAACTAATTCTGCATATCCGGATGGTAAGCTCTTTCACAACGGCAACTTTAACATTTCCAAATTAAAGAAAAGCCTCCATAACATGTTGACAAAAACTTGTTGCTAAAGGCTATTTTACATATTTTACTCTATTAGCAGTGAATCAGCAGATGATTAACTAGAGACTACACAGAACAGAATAAAACAGAAACAACCAGAATGAAGTCACTTTTAGGAGTCACAGCACATAAGCAAGCAGTTTATCCCCTACTTAATATCTAAGCCAAGTCTTATTCACATGAAACAAAATTCATGAACTCAGTCTTTTGCAGCACTCAAAAATAACCAATGCAGATGACAAACACACACAAGAGATAACAGTTCTCTTGTTAGTTCTTGGAGAGGCTGCATTAAAAGTCAAAGTCAAGAACCTGCAATTCCCTTCAGAACATACCTAAACTGTTGTCAGTTCTTGCTGTCACCAAAGCCCATGCAGTGGATTTGTCCCCACAGATGTATTTTAAAACAGCAGGACAGAAAGAGAACAACAGATTAGTTCCTGATAATTCCTTGCAAATATAAATGTTATCCAATGAAAGAGTTCTGGTAACATCAAAATCCATATACTGAAGAAAATGTAACAGAATTTTAGAACCAGAATAAGACTTAATTATAGACCTCGCACTGTGATAACTGCAGATAGCTGTTTTTTCAAAAAGAATGCAATGCTGCAGATTCCAGCTAAAATAGACTGTCTATCCAAAAATTCATCAAAGCCATAAGTAAAACACATTAGACAAACAAACTACAGTACACATCAAACTTTACAAAAAAGATTATTCTCCTTTGGACGTTTTCCAGTCTGACAGCTTCTACTTTCCTTGTCTCCCAATTATTCTCAGTATTATGTACACTTCCCCACCGCACCTCCAAGTTCTCCTCAGACATTTTATGAGTTCTCCCAGACTGAAAAACATCTCACATTGTACTACTGTCTCGGTGAATCAAACAAGCACTAACCATCATCTCTCACGAGACTTTTGCCTCCATTAGACAAGAGGAACAGTTTTAACAGCTATGTCTACATCAGTGAAACTCCAATAGATTTCTGGAATTCAGTTGTTCACAAACCTCAAAGTGCCTCACAGAAAAAAAAAAAAAAAAAAAAAAAAAAAAAAAAAAAAAAAAAGAGTAAAAGGTTAGGTTCTTCTATGAAAGACTTGGACAACCTATATGTCTGCTGTTAGTGCCGGGATGCTGCCAAAGACAGCATGTATGTGACTGAGGACACAACCATGTAAGTGGCACAAGTTCACACAAAAAAAAAAAAAAAAAGAGTAAAAGGTTAGGTTCTTCTATGAAAGACTTGGACAACCTATATGTCTGCTGTTAGTGCCGGGATGCTGCCAAAGACAGCATGTATGTGACTGAGGACACAACCATGTAAGTGGCACAAGTTCACACTTACAGAATTTTACTCAGAGGCTCAAGGCTCGTATTAAATGCAAATTTAATGCATCCAACACATTTTGGTACTTGTATTCAAAAGACAATACAAGAGTAGCCTGCAAATTGGGAGGGCACTAGTGTTGCACCACCATTTAGATATATCCAAAGAGCCTTGCCACAGTGCAGCACTTAATAATCAGAAAAAAAAAAAAAAATCCCCAAACCACTTTGGTGGTTCTGCTCTGGCTAGTTTTGTAAGAGGCTACCTAACTGCTATGTGGTAATCACATGTGACAGCCAAATCCAGAAACAAGGGAATATTCACTTGCCCTAAGTTTTAGGATCAGGCTTGCCTTTCATATATAAAAATTCAGCTGGACAAAAATATAATAAAAATAATAAAAGAACACTTGAGCAAACTGGCAGAAAACATTCTGCAGGAAAGAGCTGTATGTGGGTAGGAACATAAGCCTGCCACAGCGGAAAGCACAGTGGGGTCTTTGGTTGTTCCCCTCTCCCTTTTACTAACAAAAACTATTCCATACAGTGATGCAATGCCAATGGTCAACTTGGACTAGAACTCTCAGTGTACTCTGGCTGTATTACAGGGCTTCTGGAGCTCATAGATGACCATGACTTTGCCAGCAGAAAACCACTTTTAATTCCGAGAGAAGAAAGGATATTCTCTTCCTTTGTAACACCTAGGAAATGTTCTTTAAATCTATTCTCAAAATTACATGCACATATTTTAAAAATGCCTGTTCTTAATCCATATTCAGAGTCAGATCAGCTCATGTTAATGACTAAGATGTTTTTCACTGTCTAACAATTCTCAATCCATGCAGAACCACAGCCAGTTAAACTTGGATAAAAATGTCCTTATTCCTTATTTATCCTACTTTTTAGGGATATTTAGACCACCAAATATAACCATCCAATAACAAAGCTTCAATCTAAACAACTGAAGAGTGACAGTCTCATACAGCTCTCTCTCTCTCTGTACCTAACTGCTTATTCCTACAGCCTTTCCTATACAGACACTAATGTTCATACAGTTACTCAGTGAGCTGGATCAGCACCTCTCCTGTTGGAGGCAGGAGGAAGGGAAAAAAGATGAAGAAGGAATAAAACTGCCCGTGGGGGGAAGCACAGCTGAAGGATATGTGGCTATACTGGAGAATAAGATTGGGGGGGGCATTTGGAGGGCCTTGAGTTGCTGAAGGAAGGCACTGACCTGATGCAAATCAAAAAAGACCATGTACCAGGCTGCAGACTGCCCAGGCAGCAGCTCCTGATCTAGAGTTCCTGGTGGACAACAAATTCAGTATGAGCTAGCAGGGCACCTTCTGCAGTAGTGAAGGACATTAACTGTACTAATAATGACCTAGCAGGTCAGCGGAAATGGCTGTTCCTCTCCATCTGAAACACAAGGCCCCATCAGCAGTGCTGTCTAGTGTTATGCCTAATACAAGAGAGAACATAATCTGGAAGGTCCAAGGTTTGGGATTTTGGTTTTTTTGTTTTTGCTTGGAGAAAAGAAGGCTGAGGGGGATGTTGTTACTAATGGAAGGATTAGAGGGATGACAGACAGACTTCTCAGAGATGCCCAGAGAAAGCACAGGAAGTAGCAATCACAAGATCCAGCAAAGGAAGCTCCAGTTGCATGTAAAGAAAAAAAGATTTCTTGGCAGGAGGGCAGTTAAGCAATCAAACAGGTTGCCTTGTGAGGCTGTGGAATGATACCTTTGCAGATTTTCACAACTCATCTGGCTAAGGCTCCGAACAACCTGTTGTGAAGTTAGCCCTGCTTTGAACTGTTGAACGGGGGATATCATTTAGAGGTTCCTTCCAAACTAAATTATTTTATGACCTATCATACAATAGGGCTAAATTGCTTCATTTTAGCAGCTGCTTGCACTTTTGCCCCGAATAAGTGACAATGGAAGTGCATCCAAATCTTCCAAGTCTTCAAGCATTTAAGTCAGTTACCTATATAAAGTAGCTGCAAATATCTAAGACTGGCTGCTCCTCTGCCTGCTCACCAAAAGGAGCCCAACTTTCCAGTGACTACATAAGAAGAGCACGAAGACGAACAGCACGAAGACAAGGATTTTAACTTACACATTTGAGTTAAATGCTTAAGATCAGACAGTAGGGAAACTTTCTCAAGTCTCAGTAAATAATACTTGAGCATACCCACACACACAGTGAAAAACAGGTAAAAACCCAGCTGTGTCCTCAGGCTGGAGAGCAAGTTGGTAGGAACACTGGTGGTGGAGACAATCTCATTCACCTCCCTACTTACAAATTAATGAGTTCCACAGCAAGGCGTATCTCGAAGGAGCAGTGAATCTGCCCGGGTATTTCCAAGATAGTCCTCAGATGAGGACCACTTTGACCTGAAAGCTTCACACTGAAGTGCCCACTGCTTGGCCCACTGCTTATGAGCCTGTAGCAAACCATGCAGCGCGCAGAGGGAAGATAGGCCCTGTAGGAAGATAGGCCTGCTCCTTGCAGGCAGGCTCTATGCATGATCTGCTAAAGAGGCCTTAACTAGTGCTTCTCATAACGCTGGATAACATAATTGTTCATTCTCCCACTTAAGAGACCCCAGATAGGATCTTCAAGAACCTATGTTTGTCACCAAAACGCCCCAAATGAGGAAATTGTTAAGAAGTAAGTATAAAGTAAAATAAAGAAAAAGCTCTTCAGTACAAAGAAGGCCTAGATTCCCTTCAAAAGTGGCTGAGAGAAAAGAGGGTGTTAAAGGTAGTGGTAAACCTTGAGCGGACTGATCTGCAGGACAAAAAGGACAGGACAAAAAGCATAATTAAACTGGCAGATGGCAGTATAATTACGTATTATAAAATATATTTCATGACAAATCAGCTTAAGATGACATAGCTATGTCACTGTTATTAGATAATGCTCCCCCCAAATCCTAAACAATGCTTAGTATCTTGTCTTCATAGCATTTAAATTTTCCTGGATCAATGATCAGAATTTCAGGACAAAATTACTATTAAAAATCATACTGACTTCCAGAAGTAGCCAGACTGGCCTTCTCAAGATGTAAAAGTAATCAGAATATGCATTGTCAGAGCATACGTAAAGTTCTCAATTTCTGCAGTATCTTTCACAACAAAATAATTATATTTGCTCCTATATGAACGCCTCTAATGATTATACTAAGAATTTGGCTTGAGTTCTTCAAGCAAAGATTACCCCTGCCATACAATTCGGCCTGTTTCAAGAAACTGGATGGCACAAAAACAGCACTTCGATTTGTCTGATTTACTCTGGCACTCATAAAAACACCTAGTATACAATCATACCTAGTACAGCAAGAAAAGAATAAATGAGCAAGCAAGCGATTCCAAGGCCAAATTTCATCATGAAATTATTGGTTCAGATGACAGAAATGAAATCTTCCCTTTAGGGAAGGGGGAAAACACAGAAGTGAAAGGGACACTGCCACAAATATAATTACAAGTAGTCAAGATTAAGTTAAACTTACGGTATAAAGTAGAGATACATGCAAAACAGCCCTACACTGTTTAAGCTCAATAGCAGGAACAAATCCCAGCACTTGAGAACTCAGTGCAACCAGCTTATTACCCTTCAGCCTACACTAGGTTCTGTGATTCCAGGACTATGTTGCTTACCTATATATCATTTAAAGCCAGCTCAAGTATCTCTGCAATGCACTGCCAACTGTGGTTAAACATCAGAGGCCGTGCCTAGTGAACTGACACTACAGCAGCTCTTCATAGGTTCACCAAACGATTCCTAAATCTCCTGCTGTGGGGTACATCTAGTTGCCAGACTGCACATTCTGTAAAGTTTTTATTCTAATTATGAATTGATGTATTCATGTGTGTTCATTTAATAGAGTCCCAGGATAACGCCTCCACACACTATCTGAACTGCCAACCTGCATTCATATCAGCTAACAGAACAGATCCAAGAGCTCCCCTGAATAAACCAGGAAGGAATCGTTCATGGAGAATAATACAGATGTTTCATAAAAACTCTAAGTGACACTATATTTAACACGTATATGCTGTCCTTCCCAAGGAAGTTAAGAGTATATGAATAAGTCTTGCCTACTTACTAAAAATACCAGTAAGGTTTCTAAAATTTGTTCCCATTTAAGTCATTCCAACTTAATGGCATGAAGCATACTAAATCATTTAAGAATATGTATTTACAGACTTGATTTATTTCTAAAATACATAATTATTAAAACACATATTTATGCTAATAGAACAATAATGTATTTAACAAATAACCTTGTTACAAAATATTTTCTTAAAATGTATTCTTAGCATACAACAGGAATTAGGGACAGCATTGCCTGCCTCCTTATAATACATACTTGCTATAGCAGATTTTTTAATATGTTCTGAAAGTATAGAAGTTAGTAGACACAATTCACATGTAGATGACATTTTTGCTTACTATACTTCCCTGAAATGTATGGATTTAGAAAATACATACATTGTAAAATTAAAGGGAAAACAAAATGCTTACGTTCTCTGAATGCTTTACAGTAGCCAAGGAATGACAACAAAAAGAACAGGGCACACAGTAGATCTGCTCTGCCAACAATCCCTGCAACCTTAAAAAAAAGAAATCAGATATTATTGGAAAATCTGAGATAAGATATACACACACATATAGTGAAATGTAAAAACATTACTTTTTCTTTTTTTCCTTTTTAGAATCTGGTTTACTTGTTTAGTGACATCCAGCTTTCTAAACAGGAAGAACAGAGGGCAACAAGAGGGAAACAGAGGTGCAGAGGTATTAGGGTAGGACTAAAACCACTGAACAGCCTCCTTCTCCCCAGTTCAACCTCACTTTCAGCTAAGCACCAAAGAGAAACCATTGAATTCTTATATTCAATTCAGAAAAAAAAAAAAAACTTCTTGACTTATCCAAAGCCATGCACTTAACTTCTCTGCTTCTTTTTCTATCTCACAAGGGAATTATAAGGATTAACTCAATAACTGTGAAGTGCGTTGAAAGGTGAAAATAATGAAGTACCATTCTGCTGCAGGAACTATTTTCAACTAATGAGAAAAAAACATATAGGTGAGCTGAGACAAGCCTAAAAATAAGTGCCAGCTTGTTACAACAAAGAGATTAAGGGGCTAACAACACACGCAATCTGAGATGCAGGATCTGGCCCATAGTCTCCAGTAATGAGGCACATTTAAAGAAGTATTTTTAGATTAACACTGGCATATTATTATGTCTGTATTTCAAAAATTTGTTACAGATACTAAGCATTTTCCCCAAAGAGAACTGTGCTACAGCAGTGTTTACTTGCATCTGTAAAAAAAAAAAAAAAAAAGACATATTTTTATTGCATAGGTACTAAAAGCACTAAATGCTAACATCTTGTTTACATGACAGTTTATTTAGTGTATTCTGTGTTTTTGTATATACTACACAAAATGTAGATATATACAAAAACCATAAGAGCAAAAGGACAGATTCTTCACAATTCTATGTCAAAATATGTCATCTCATTTCAAAACCAGGTTGTCATAATACTTACAACTCTCAGCTTTAAAATCATGAGAAATGCAGTTTGAGGAGATGCTGCCTGACATTCATCCATGCTAGAGCCACAGCAGTATCACAACTGCTACTATGCAAAAATAATGTAACTGCCGAGGAGCTTCTGTTATGGGTATGCAAATCTCACACATGTAGTAGACCACATCACTTAGAAAATTACATGAGATCTTAATAACATTTGCCTGCTGTTTTGAATATATTTTTAGAACCAAACAGAAAAAAAAATCATGTGTATTAATAAAGTCAATAGCAATCTGCAGTTCAAGCTCAAGTGAGATATTATGTTACATTTCAGAAAATCAGGAGCACTGCAGACTATTTTACTTCATTTAGACATCCTAAACTGGTCTGGGGAAACAAACATCAAAACATCAAGGGCCTCTTGGACTCTCGCACAGAAGCTATCCTGCTGCCAAGCAAACACCAGAAAACACTTGGCAGAATGATTTAGCCTAGTAAAGAGAGGGCAAATCTCAGAAACCACTAATACAGAACTCTGCCACCTCTATGCTCCCAATAGATAGAAGCTGGTTGCAAAGGAGAGCTTTCTGTCACCTCTTTAGCATCAATTAGGTGCAAACACAATTAAAAAGTGCCAAAACACAGACAACTGATCAAGTGAAGAAATTGCTTCTATACATGTAGAAAAAGGTGCATTAAGGGTTCAATATTCATTTCTAGGGCAAAGATCAAAGCTAGACCTAGTACTTTTACAGTACTTTAGTCCTTTCAAACTATGAGACATGATTCCTTCCATTGAAATTAGTGTAATTTTACTTATCCTTCCTTTATGAAGGAACCATGGAGCACATCCAGCAGGACCACCAGTATAAGGCCTGAAGACTTAACTATGAGTGCAAAAGCACATCTTAAGAAACGGAGCTCCTCTTACCTACAGTTTCCATGCACTGACTTTAATTCTGAGTGAGGTATTTTACATGGTTGCTGTACACACGTTCTATATCTATAACATACCTTTTTACCTTCTGTTTCCAGGAAATGTTATGTTTTGTCAGCACTACCAAATTTTTATTCCCCATATAAGTTGTTCCAGGTTGTGAAGAAAAACAATCCTTTAATCTTCTCCTTCATAAGCTAAAAATATAAATCCAGAGGGTTCGATCTCTCATACAGGACCATTTCCAAAACTTTAATCATTTGCACAGCTTTTCTGAATTCTCTGCACTTTTTAAAACATCCTTCTTGTGGCATAAAGCTGCACATCGTATTCTAATAGTCACATACAAACTTCTTATAATGTCCTTCCTCCAATTCTGTTAACTCTGTTTTATATAAAGCAAGTGAGAATATAGAGTGGTGAAGCATTTTGCATTCAGTTCATCTTCCATTCTCCTTGGCTGCTCATGAGCTAGTGTATCCAGTGATGAATTCTTAATCCAGTAATTAGGGAAACTCTTTGTAGTTTAAGGCTATTCTCCTTTCGCTATTGTACTTAAATGATTAATTTATCTTCCTTAATAAGGTTCAGCCCCATGGAATTTTAAGATTCTGGAAGTGCAAACCCTAATTGTTCTCACAAGACATGTGCCAAAAGAAGCCTTATGAATAAGTAAAGTGTGTGAAAATATGACAGAACTATGTAGCCAAACTGGTAGAGACCACCTAGGACCTGAATTGACAGAGTTAAGTTTTGGGTACTTACACATTCAGTGTGCACTGGATGAACAGCAAACAGCAAAGCAGCCAGGAGAGATGTCTTTGGAGCCAGGTTTAGTCTTCTTCCTTTGTTACTGTATTGCAGCCCACCCAATAATATTGAGAACACATCAACCATCAACATGGAGATAGCACAATGCAGTATTATATTGATGACATGAAAACCCACTGGGTGGAAACCTCCAGCAAAAAGGTAATTAATTCTGCACAGAAACAAAAACACTGAGGTCAGTAATCACATAAGCATTAGAGAGAGGCAAACAGAAAAACTGAGCAACCCCATAGCAAAATTATACTTATGCAGCAACAACAACAAAAAAAGAAAGAAAAGAATTAAAGGAATGAAAAGTACTACCACATCCCAGGAGATGGGGATATTATCATCAACCAGTACAACAAGCTGAAAACAAGGCCCTGATCTCTTCACAGACAGAGGTATTTATATGGGAAATCACACTAAGCATAAACCTACCCATCTCCTAGTATGTTAATGCTAGCACATTATTCATACATGTGTTTACTTAGAATTGGGTTTTGCTCAGCAGAAAAACGTAAAAGTTGCAACACTCATAAAGGTTGAGCACATACACTAGCAGAGTCCTGCAGACAAACTACCCAACTTACTGGGGGAATGTTCTTGGGCTTAAAAGACAGTATGCACGAAACGGAATGAAAACATTTTAATTAAATCTACAGAGTGAAAAAGTAATATGCACAAAGACTAAGCTTTCAATTGACAGTCTAGCAGGAAAATGTTCTAGTAAAATCCGGAAAGGGATCAGAAAGAAAATATAAACAACCATTTTGCAACACCGGCTACAGAGCAATTTTATAGAACTAGAAAAAACTGTAACTGCAGTCAGTCTAAGATCAACTTTTAATTTTAAGATAGAAACTCTGACCCAAAATGTAAGGGGAGAAGGAAAGGAAAAAGCATCTTGTTATTTTCTGTATGCTTTTATCAGTAGGTGAGATATACAGTGTGGACAGTGGACTTTATATAGTTGGGCCAGCTTACATTTGGCGTAAGTGGAATCTAATAAAAAAACTAATAAAAAAAAAAAAAACTTACTGTAAATGTTTTTTTACAGAAGTTGGAGTTTAAAAGATTTAGGAAGTTTCTTACGAAATTAGCCTTATATGGATCACCTTCAGATATAGTAGTAATTGTATCTCGAGTCTCTCAATCCACCTTACGTCACTAGGGACAGAATATGCCATAGAGACTTACGTGTGTTATGTAACATACCAAAAGTTTTAATAGGACCCTGACAGTCCTCCACACTTACATTTTTGTTTGGCAATGGTGTGAAAAACAAACTGACAGACAGCAAAGCCCACTGTAGCAAACCCTTTAGCACGTCTGCTAAACTCCAGGGTCACAGCTACTGCTTTAACCCAAAAAGGCGGAGTGTGTTCTCTTCCCTAATCACTTCCCTGCTTAGACTGGTCACAAGTGCAGAGCCAGTGCCAGGCCCTTAATCACTAGTACAGCAGGCCCATAAAGCAAGAGTTGAATGGAAAAAGAAATAAAATCAAGGCCATGTCCTCAAGGGTTTGTTTTTGTTGTTGTTGTTGTTGTTGTATTACTGGGTTCAATTCCTAGCTGTACTGCTTGCCCAAGCCCTTGTACAAAACACAGCAGCTAAGCATCTACAGAAGGGCTCCTCATAAACCTGTAGCTACTTGAGAACACCAACAAATAAAATGCAAGTCAGATATGCAGGCAAACATCTGCCTTAGTAGGACTCTCAGACACAGACACTCTCCTGAAGACAAAATATTAGGGGCGAAGGGTGGAAAGCCTATTCAGTAGCCTGCTGGCAAAAGGCCACAGCAGATGGATGTGATTTGTCAAAAATCATTCCACAGGTCAGTAGGAAAGCAAAAAGCAAACTACAGTAACAGCACAAACGGCAGCTTGGGTAAGTAGAGGGAACACACCTAACTCCTTGATGTGCCCTATATAGTCAAGGATGTTGGCTCTAAGAACAAGGCACGTGAGAACTAAAGAGGGCAATCTCTGAAGGGTACATAAAATAATGTCAAAAACTATGCCTATTTGGGGAAAGAAATAATCAAAAACAAAAAATTCAAGTCAGGATTAAGATAGCAAACATGACAACCAATTCATGAAAGACATCCAACTTGCCTGCAATTCCTTTGCCTACCTCACCTTCTCTACTGCATCCTCTGCATAAGAAAACTGCTATGTGTCAAAACAAACTTTTAACAAAAATTCAAGACTTAAGGGAAGAAAAAAAGGCAAATCTCACCTGAAAGTTAGGACAGTAAGTGGTCGATATGACTTATGACTGGTATTGCTGCTGAGTTTGCTACCCCAAAAGTCATGATGCCACAGGTCACCAAGTGGGGTTTCCGCCCTGAGGTCCTGAAATAAGACATCATTAAATACCAGGCTCTTACCATTTCTGTTTCATTCAAAGCCTGCTAAAAGATAACTGAGTTCTAATACTTTCTAATATACATATACCATTACTGACATCTGACAACGTACTGAAGTTTGGAACAAGGTCATGTCTTGGGTGCCTGTCATCACAAAGGCCAAGGCACTTGGATTCTGTAAACAGGCTATGTGAAATGTAGTAGAGCTAAGATGATTTACGTGAGTTGAAAATCTGGCCCAGAAACTGAGCTTTGAATCGCAAGGAAAAAAAAGCAAAAATTGTAAAGTGTCTTTCTTGGGAAAGAGGCCAAGCACAAGTTGTTGCAAACAGCTATTTTTCTGCTAGTGTCAGTAGCAGAACTAGTAATGAAACCAAGAAAGATATACACCAAAGACTAAAGGTAAAAGCTCTTTTTTAGCTCTTTTTAAGCTAGCTATACCTTTCTTTGCACAGGACACTATTCAAATAATAGGTCTTTTTTGATCTTATCGTTAATACATGAAACCAAGAAGTAAATTCCTCAGCATACTGCACTAAAAGAGGATTAATAACAAGTTAGTTAAATTACTTACATGCCAGTTTGGGGCAGAATACTATAACAAAACCAAAAACGAAAAGTCCAGACTTTCCCTTTATCTTAAAGCCTACTGATAGGGAAACAATCCAAATAACATAGACTAATGAATGCACCAGTGGAAACAATTCATGCTAAACCCATGAATGGGCTAACAAAGCCTGGCTTCCTGCATCTTCTCCTTGTATCTCCCTCTCCTTACAAGTTCCCACATTACAACATTCTTGGTTCACCAACTCCAGCTCCTCTTAAATGCTCTTGCCATCCTCATTATACTCCGCAGTACTCAAGAGCTTCCTCCTATGGCCTGCCAGCAAGAAGAGAGACTTGTACTGTTGCTAGTCTGAAGGCACAGGCAAACATCCAGGCCATGCATGAATACTGGCTGGCTGCTGCTAAACTGCAATTAAAAATGACTAAGTTCTTGCTTGTTTCTCCACACATTTTGTCCTTCACTCATCCGAAAAATCCGTAACTGCAGAAAATGATTTATTTCTATCATTTAGTCAAATTTGGCCAGTATTAGATGAAGGGCTCAAAAAGAAATTAGGAAGGGGACGCTGGCTACAAATCCTAGGCCACAGTCAAATGACGCAAAGTGCTGTCTACTGGGCTGCTAATCAGTATGTCTGTACTAACTTTGCTACCATTACTTAAATGCTTGTGTAAGCTGCATCACTGTCATGACAGTAAAAGTACCTTCCCTTTCTACACAAAGGCTTGGTGTGGCTCCATCATCACAGTATGAAGCTATTGAAGACTCCTTCTTCCCTTTCTAACCAGCAAGCCAGACACAAAGCTAGGGGAAGCTAGAGGCTGTGTTCCTGAAGAATTTCTGCTATTCCTGCAAAAGCTGCATCATTGTGTTGGAAGGAAAGCAGAGTTAATTAACACTGTTGTCTTTGAGAAGCCCTGGACTACAGGAACAGTTAAGCATTTTGGAGGAAAAATCTTAATAGACTTAATAATAATAAAGCTTCACAGAGGATCCTATTTCCAGCTTAAGAAAGAGAGAGGTGCAAGGCTTCTCTGTTCTTTCAAGGTCAAAAAGGAGACACACATACAGAGCACAGATGTATCTCTGTTCAAATGGCAACCAAGAATTGCTTTTTCCCTTCAAGATTTAAGTTTTGGTCTTAGGCACCTCAACTCCAATGCCTCTGCTCAAGGGTTTGCACAAGCCCTGAAGAATGACCTGGGGATTGGAGCAGGAAATCAACTCGTCAGGAGAGCCCCCTGAATCCATTAAGATGGCTGCTTTTGCAGGGCCAGCTGCGTCTGGCTTGCACACCAACACATACTGAAGTCTTTGCACTCTGCAGAGCGGGTGTTCATCTGTGCTAGCGGGTGTTGTGGCTGCTGTCAATGCCCACTTATGCATGCGTGCCAGCTACATGGACTCAGGAAGCGTTTGCGTGCTTTAAATAAAGCTTTAAATAAACAGAAAGGAACTACTATAACTTTAAACCTATGGCTTCTATTTCACATATTGTCTTCAAAATCATGAGATGGGAAATATAATTGGGTTATACAAGCCTAGGCTTTCCTCTCCTCCAGAATCAGCCTTTTTTTAATCTTCAATAGGAAGAATGCAGGAAAAGTTGAATATATAGAATTATTTAGCAATCAGATTATACTTTCCTATGGCCTAGAACTCTCCAGAGGCCAAAGGCAGCAGACTCGTTCACGTGTCTAAGTTGTGTGAGAGACAGTTACTTCTGTGAGTTTTCCTCCACGAAGGATTTACCCCAGAGGGGAAATGGTTTGCTCCAAGAGCCACAGCGATTAAAAGGTTATGCATGATTTTCTCTTATCAGCACTTAATGCAGATACCAAAGAATCTCTAAATATTTGATTAGCAGCAACTTACACACAGCAGGTTTCAATACTTGAAAAAGGTCAGTTTTTCTACCTAATGGCTTAGAGAAAAGACACCTTGTGTCTCAAGTTCCTGTTAATTCAATTGTTTGCCTTGGCAAGCTAGTAAATAAAGACAAAATCAGTGTTGAGAACCAGTGAAAATGCTGCTTAAAATGACAAGGAAGCATCTGGAAAACAGCCTTGAACACCAATAAAATCTAATAACAGAATGCTGTACGATATGGTAGGCACGAGGCCAACTAACAGTGTATTTTTCATTAAAAAAGGCAAGACTGGGGGGGAGGGCTAGAGAGTTAACAAAAGGGTCACAGTGTGGCACACACGGAAATACTGGGAAAGTAATGCTCAGTAAATCTCCAAGATTACTTCACCTACTGGCTCTCATATAGAATGGGAATAAAATATGCTACTTGCTATTTAATGAAGTCTGCCTTTGCTAGATGCTTTGAGTCCCTAACAAACTAATAAATGCATTGTCTATATATTTTTGGCATGAAGTTTGTATTTCCATATATTTAGCTGATCATCATCAAAATCACACTCAATTTCTAGGGAATAATAGAAGACTTAGACGCAAAAATTATAATCAGCCTCAGATTTTCCCTCATACAGGCCCCGTATGAATTAATCTATTTAAGCATTTAATTTAATTTGTCTGAGTTGTCAACTGCCATAATCCCAGTACAGGTTGTTGTGTTGCATACATAAATTGAAATATTTAACAAATAAGAATAGAAAGTCTGGAAATTGAATGAGAACAAAACAGCTAAGCCTACCCCTGCCTTGGTTTCCACATCAATTTTGTTTGCTCTTTCAGAAAATTAAAGTGTTATCGTTATGCTCCAAATAAAACTTTGCACAATGCGACATTCCCAGGAGCTGTGTAATTTAAAGTATAATGGTTCTTAAAAATCACTGCAGGTTCTTAGTTTGTTTATTGAATTCTCTTAGCAGCTTTGAGATTTATTTCCAATTTGGCAGATATATTTCCCCTCCATGCATTTATAACTCAAGATAAGATGACTTACACAAGCATAATGTGAATTTGTCTGAAGAAACTGTAATTCAGTGGGATTCTAAATAGCACATTGTGATAAACTGCCTCTAAATTTTTGCAATGCAATGCAAAAAAATCTTCTAAAGATCTCTGTAGATTATTCGCCCTGCATTTCCATGGCTTCAGGAAAACAGAATCACCATAAGGGTCATTCTTTTTTACTCCTTTTTACTCTGTGCTTCTCTTTCCAAACCTTTCACAAGAACTTCCCAGAGTACAACAAGAGTTGATGAGCTAAGAGCACCGCCTCACCACTTGCCACACATGATTTCAGAAAGTGTCTCACCATCTGGCCAACACTCAACTACATCTCTTCAATACCAAAAATTAAAAAAACAAAAATCCCATCCAGAGTTTTGTGCTTCAAGTTAAATTCAAGCTATTTTCAGGATTGTTCATTGTGCTTATATAAATTAAAAAAAAAAAAAAAAGAGAGAGAAGCAGGAGAATACCCTGCCTTTATCTTCAAAACTGCTGTTACCACAGAAATATTACCTGGGGAAGGAACACAAGGTAAAAGACAGCATTCCTTGCTCCAAACATTTTTATGGTATAAACCACAGCTGGAGAATTGCTGTACCCTACAATCACTTACATTATGCATCCTATAACTGCAGTAAGTTTATTCATTTGGCTTTCTCCTCTGTCACTCTGCAGAGATAATAGAATATCATCTCCTATGAACATCAATATTAGGAAAGTCTAGTTCATATTCTCATTGTCAGTGAGAATAAAACTGTATCTAGAGGCAGTCTTAATGGATAGGTATCCTGTGAATAATTAAGCATCACATGCAAATTCACTGCAACCCCTGTTATTGCTTTCTTAGATGACAAGCAGACAGAGGTTATCGATATAGCAAAATGGGATGCTATTCCCCTTGACCAGACATCATCACTTGTTAAGAAATCTCACTTGCAAAGAGCTAAATGAGATACATTCTAAGCCAAAAAGATGTTTCATTTGTCTGCTCTGTTATTAATGCATCAGAACCCAGGTTATCCAAATAGCTTTGGGAGCAAGAGTTTGTTAAACATGCTTATGTTTCTAGCTTTCCTGTATAACACTGCTGCACAGCTTGTTTGTCAAATTTTAAAAAGTCTTACTTTAAAAAAGAATACAAGAAAAAAAATCAATAAAAGGAACGGAAAGGCAGTTAGTCAATAAGAATAATATTTTGGGCCTACCATAATTGATTGTTGTCATTTTTTTCATGCTACCACTTAAATCAAAGAAAATAAAATAAAAAGAGACAAACCTTGTTATTGATGATGGCTTCAGAATCATCGAAGACAAAATCTCCATCATAGCTGTTAACAAAGCAGAGGAGGGAAATTAATCCCACAACCATCTTAGCCCAGTATGGGGAAAGGAGGAACCACGATACGTCATGGTCCAGATTAGGTTCTGCTTGTGCCATTCTGCAAAATGCTCATTCCAAGATGGGAGCTTCAGCATTATGTTGGTTGCAAGTCTGAAAGAAACATACAGATGCGAAATTAATCCTGCTTTTCCACAAGAACAAAAAGTTGGGACAGGAGAATGAAACATCATCCACTACAATATTTTCAGTGTGTTCATAATTATCAAAATGTAACTAAATATAATTTTGTATTTTAAATTTGGAGGCAGGGCGAAAGGTACAGTCTCCCATGATCTGAGCACAGAGACAAAAGTCAAGAAATTCTTAGATCATAAGCCGGAAGTTCTAGCAAAAGTAAATTCTAAAACTTTGATCAAGTCGTCGTTTCTGCTTGTAATGATTCACTTCAAATCTAAAAAGTTGGGGTGCTAGGGGGACTGTAGAGCATTCAAAAGCTCTTAAGAAAATGAAAAACTTTCATTTGATTATAGGAATAAGTGGTGAAAAGCAAATATCAATAGCAAAAGCTAAATCTTCCTCTGTTAATTGAATTAAATGATCTGGACTTGCACATAGCCCATTCTGGGAACTCAAACAAACATCAAAAGTGGATATACATAGGTAGCAGTTGAAGATCTAGGCCCTAAATCCCAACAATTCAAATAAAGGCCACAAATGAGTATACAACTCCAGACTCAAATCCATGTTCATCATTCTGCCCACCACAAATACAGCATAGTGGAAATCTCCTTACTACAAGCATAGCTGTTCAGGTAGGTGAAAAACACGAGGCCTTCCGACAGCTCTGAGGGTTATACGCAAACAGGAAGATAACAAGACTAAAAGTTTACCCATGAACCCATGACTGGAAGTTTATCATGAAGTTTCCCCCTTGGAAAGGTCTCTTCTCAGGCTCCAAATGCCACCCGTGGCCTGAACAGCTATTTTGCCCCTGCATCCCTGGTGCTGCCACAGCATGTTAGTGGTCTCACTCTCAAGTATTAGTACAGATGGAAGGGAAGGGAGATTGCAGAGGGAGCACTACAGTAGTAGCAAAAACAGAATAATATGAACTAAATATCAGCAAGCCCCCAAAATGATAGGTGAATACACATCCAGCTGAACTACGGTCAGAAGCTTAATTTCTTTATATATTGGCTTTTTATATCACTTTTTAATCACCACCCTTGGAAATTTTATATGTAATGCCTTTGCACAAACTAGGAAAAAAGAAGTGGGGCTTCGCGAGCAGACTTGACCACGGGAATCAATGGCTTAGCAGCTATTCTGCTCGCAAAGCTCCGCACCAGCCCCTGCGTTTTCCCGGGTCGTGTCCAGCCTGGCGCATTCCCAATCCACACACGTGGAAGCGCCGGCACAGCCTGTGCTCCCCCCGCACCGGGGCCCCCTCCCAGCCTGGGGACCACCTCGGAAGGCTCCGATGAGAGCAGGTAACACGAGCACAGACCGAGCAGAGAACGGAGCTCCTGAGCAGGGCGAACGGGGCTAAACCCTGTCAGGGCTAAAGATTATTAGCAGTAGTAGAGACTGAAAGCGAGACTCTAATCACAGGGAAGCACGCTGGCAGCAGCCGCTCGGATACCGCATTTCCCGCAGAAATTCTTAATTAAAATACTTCATATGCTCGTATATCAATCTTGCCCGGAAAGTTTCTCCATATGTTTTTTTCCGCCCGCCCCTCTGTTCACCTACAGCCACCGCCAGCTCCGCCCGCGGCAGCC